GGGAGGGGAGGAGAGAGAGAGAGAGAGAGAGGAGAGAGAGAGAGAGAGAGAGAGAGAGAGAGAGAGAGGAGAGAGAGAGAGAGAGAGAGAGAGAGAGAGAGATTGAGACGAGAGAGAGAGAGAGAGAGAGAGAGTGGATACAGTAAAGAAGGGAGAGAAGCTATACGGGAAAGTGCTAGACGTTGTTTATAGTATGCATGATGGCGACTGGCTTACGGGTGAGGGAATAGCAGAGAGAGAGAGATAAAGTGAGGGAAGGATATAAAGTGAGAGACGGTAGGACTAAACAAGCCATGACGGTAGACACAATGAAAGGCAGCTGGCACCGGGGTGTTAAAAACATTATCTCCTCCCACACCTAAAAGTAAATAGGTACAAGGGAGTTAAATAGATGATGCTATGGGCTGCATCTTGGGGATATATATTTTTTTAGAGGGGGCAGGGATATTCCTGCGCGGGCCCCTAAGCCTGCTTTCATACCTCTCACTGTACTTCCCACTTCTAAACTTTCCTTTTATCGCTCTCTCTCTCTCTCTCTCTCACACACACACACACACACACATAGAGATATGATAGAGCCCAAAAGGCTCAGGAATCTGTTGATTGACAGACGAGAGGCGGGACCAAAGAGCCAAACCCTACCTCCAGGCAAGCATAACTAGGCTAGTAACAGATTTGTTATATTTTAAACTAACAGCTTATAATACAATAAAGTTAGAACTTCAATGCAGGAATATGCAGTAAAGTCGTGGGATGAATAATTACAGGTACAAATAGAAATACAAGTATAGGTACAAAAACAAGTTGAGATACAAGTACAGGACGCATATAGGCAGGATAGCAAGCACAAGCACAAGTCCAGTATGGGTACAAGTAAAGTTGACTGCCTGCTCTCCCCCCCCCCCGCCCCCTCCACTTCCCCAACACAAACACACACACGCCTTGTTGCCAATGTTCTCCACACCCCCCATCCCATCCCCCCTTCCCCAAGCCATCGCTTCTCTCCCACTCCCTCTCCCATGGCTGTCTCTCCCTCCCCCCATGCCTCGCCCCATCCCCCTCCCCTCCCCCAGCCGCCACAATACCTACACGTAGCCTCAAGACTGTTTCATGGATACTGTGGTATTTATATCCTCTTAAAACACCAGGCCGGCCATCGCCAGTCACGTGGCCGCTCTAGCAAGGTGGTCACAGTAGGCAACCGCCTCCCTAAAACTCTTAAGAATTAGAAGATTAATTGAAGTTTGAGAATGATGCGTATATCAGTGATTATGAGGTGGTCGCTAATACCGACTGGCCCTTATATTATTATTAGGGATAGCCTATTTTATTCATTCTAGCTCAGTGTACTTTTCCTTGAAATGGCGACTATAATGATCATACCGAGTCAAATCCCCCTCATTAGAGGTTCAACACCCTTCGCAAAGGTTAAACACCCTTCACAAATGTTCAACACCCTTCACAAATGTTCAACACCCTTCACAAAGGTTCAACACCCTTCACAAAGGTTCAACACCCTTCACAAAAGTTCAACACCCTTCGCAAAGGTTCAACACCCTTCGCAAAGGTTCAACACCCTTCGCAAAGGTTCAGCACCCTTCGCAAAGGTTCAACACCTAGAGACTCATCACCCGTCTCCCCCGTGGAGGTTACACAGGATATAACAGTGTTGGCGAGCGTGGTAACATTGTCTAGCCTATGCCAGCGGGTGTGGCAGAGGCCAACAGCTTTACAGGTTCAGACAGCCAGAACAATGACCCAAGTTTTCACTAATTCATAGTAGAAATAATCAAAGTAGCAATAGTTGTATTACGTAGAAAGATGGTATTATGTTAAGTATATCACCTATGCACGTAGTTAATAAGTCAATATTGACTTTACATGTTAAGTATATCACCTATGCACGTAGTTAATAAGTCAATATTGACTTTACGAATTTGCGAGAACGGGTTGGGTAGTAATAGTAGCATCACAAGGAACAGCAGCAGTAGCAGCAGTAATTCTGATCAGCAGCACCATTAGGAAATGTATATGTTTATCTCTCAGAATGTTTGGTAATATGTTTATTGTTTGTGATGTGTGTCTATGTATGTATTAACACGATGTACTGAACGGGGTGAGAATAGCTTGAGCTACCTCATCCCTTTGTGTGTATTTTACCTCAATAAACTTATTTCAATTTCAATTTCAGCAGCACCATGCCAAGCAGCGGCCGTAACACCTGCTAGTACTGCTGCTGCTGCTGCCGAAGTACCTATTTTTGTAGCTGTTGTTACAGTAGTGTCGATGTTACTGGCAGCAGTTGGAGCAGCAACAGTGGCAGTTGAATGATGATCATAATTAGCAGCTGCAGGAATCACTGAAGAACAAGAGCCTTTGAAGTGTGTGTGTAGAACAACACATTTCAAGAACGGGCTTTTGTTTTTCAGACATGGCTTCGATGAGAACAAAGGTTCGCCCTTGACGGTACTGTCTGTACAACAGCAGCAGCAGTAGCAACAGTATCGTCAGCCACATCAGCAAACAGTAGTGACAGCAGCAATACAGATAACAGCAAAGTAGTAGACGTTTAATAATAATAATAATATTATTTCCTCCCAACAGGAAATGATACACATCGTCAAATGGTGCGTAGCCTAATCCTTCAGCCGCCCCGGACAAGGCGGAAGTGTGTGCGAAGTGCTTACTGTTACTGCGCAGTCAATGTGGTTCAGCGCCGTGAACTGTGGTCGGTTTGTGCACGTTCAGGGCGGTAAATGGTCTGTTTGTGCACGTTCAGGGCGGTAAATGGTCGGTTTGTGCACGTTCAGGGCGGTAAATGGTCTGTTTGTGCACGTTCAGGGCGGTAAATGGTCGGTTTGTGCACGTTCAGGGCGGTAAATGGTCGGTTTGTGCACGTTCAAGGCGGTAAACAAGTACTGTATGTGTTCGGTTAATTTAACTTCGTTTATAAATGCTTCACAAATATCCGGTTAAATGGGGGGAGATACGCTATTTTTTCAGTCACGAATAGGTTTGCACTTAAGCAATGCTTTGTTATCCTTGCAGTATGGCACCATTGATATCCTTGCAGTATGGCACCATTGATATCCTTGCAGTATGGCACCATTGATATCCTTGCAGTATGGCACCATTGATATCCTTGCAGTATGGCACCATTGATATCCTTGCAGTATGGCACCATTGATATCCTTGCAGTATGGCACCATTGATATCCTTGCAGTATGGCACCAGTTATCCCTTGTAGTATGGCAACAGTGTTGGTGCCGGGGTGAGGCCAGCCTCTTGAACTGACAGAACTTACAGTAACTATATGGTGGAAAGTACAAATATGCAGTGATGGACCACCAGTAAACTAGTTTTTGTACCATTGATTCTATAGTCAAGAAAAATAAAGCTAAAACCCAAATTTAAATGTTTCTAGGCCTAGAATACCACATATATGTACTATATTAGGCCCTAAGATAGTGTATATTAGGCCTAGGCTTCCCAGAAGAGGTTAGGATAAGCGATATTTTTATGTTAAAAAGATATTACAATTTGTCCAAATTCAGTAACACAAAATTCTACTTTCTCTAGAGAGAGAGAGAGAGAGAGAGAGAGAGAGAGAGAGAGAGAGAGAGAGAGAGAGAGAGAGAGAGAGAGAGAGAGAGAGAGAGAGAGAGAGAGAGAGAGAGAGAGAGAGATATTGTACTCTGTAAAAAAGATACATCGCAGGTTCCCTGTCCTCAGACCATATTTTCCACAAGAGCAGTAACGCTAGCAAGGTTATATCCCTATAGCTGAAAGGTGGTTGCATAACATTCAGGTAGCTCCAGGGAACGTGATGCCTGCCCACCGCGGAAGATTTGACGTAAGTAGACTTACACTACAGCGGGATATTTGGCGCTCAGGCATTCCACTCTTGTGCAGTATGAGTCTGAGGACTTCGATTTCAAGAAACATTCGGCACTGAATATTTTACGGTTAAGTTATTGTTTTGTATTAAATATTTAGCTCCTAATGATATAATCATTGAGAATATTTGTTTATTGTGGGAAAATTGCTCGAGTCGATAATTGCAAAAGGTATTTGTCTTCATCTTGAAAAACAAACATTCATGTTTGACAAATTTGCTATCATTTTATTCTAGCATAATTGAGGCAGTTGATAGCGAAAAGGTTTGTAACATTGTGTACCTTGATTTTAGCAAAGCTTTTTATACAGTGCCACATGAAAGATTGATTAAAAAAGTTAGACGATCACGGTATTGGGGATGCTATATTAAGTTGGATTAATGCATGGTTATATATATAGTTACAGCCCCGCTCCTGTGCCAGGTATGTCCACTACGGGCTCACCATACTCCGTGCTACTTCAAACTTTTTGTTCAGAGTAGCTGAATCTAAAACAACAACAGCATCATGGTTTATACTAAAGGATACAAATAGCATAAATGGAGATAAGTCAATGGGAGGCCGTTGTAAGTGGAGTGCCTCAAGGCTCTGTCCTAGGACCTGTTATTAAATATGTATATAAATTATTTAGATTCAGGTTTGAGCAGCAATATTTGCAAATTTGCCAACGATTCGAAAATCGGGAGGGAAATAAACTCGGAAGATGACTCAAACTCACTTCAAGACGATTTAGATAAGATTTTTAAAAGGTTAGATGATTCGCATATGCGGCTTAATGCTGACCAATGTAAGGTTCCAAGTAGCACGGGCTATGGTGAGCCCGCAGTGGACTTACCTGACACAGGAGTGGGGCCACGTGGACTGAAGATGATCTCATACTTTTTTATAAGGCCGCTCCACACACCCCGGATACACAGTGGCCTGCGAGCGGTCGTTTCCAGTAGAGAGGCGAGGTGGTTGAGCTGACTCGGCCGCTGATGATGCGGTAGTCAGCTGTTATCCGGTTTGTGGTGAGGCGAGCCTAACCATATAGGATTATAGGCGAACACGTCAGCATACCCTGACGTGCCGTCGATTGCGTCCCCCCTTCCTTGTTCACTAATATCTTAACGATTGTGATAAATGATTATCTTGCATCTAATAGCTGCTGCCTTGGGTTGTGTTGTCAAGAGTTTCTGACCGGCTCAAGAGGACAGACAGAGCTGATAAAACGAGAAGGAAAAGAGGAGGCATAATTAAAATATACAATTTGATCCTTAAGTATACTAGAATTAGCAAATAGCGTCATTAACAATGTATATTATGCGAATAAATTGTATCCCCAATAAATTATAAAGGGTAAAAGTACAGGAGTTGCATAAAGGTCGCTTACACTGCAGTGAGAAAATTAGGCGCACCTATAACGGAAGTGGACATCCGGAGGTCACACAGGTATATATATATATACCAACCACCACGCGAGGACCTTGGTTACGGGCTCACCATAGCCCGTGCTACATAGACATTTCGTTCTGAGTAACTAAATCTAAAACAACAACAACTACAGCTAGGACCTGTTGCTCTTTATCACCACTACTAGTCTACTCCATTTTGGATCGTGTGCCCATATTAGCAGATATTTATGATGCAAAGAAAAACTTATTTAATGATCTAATCAAAAGTTTTAAAAGATCCTGTCAATAATAAAATGTGTCAGAAGACCGCTACTTATAAAGTAAAATGCACGGGCAAGATTTTTTTTATTATTATTTTCTACCACAGACGTGGCCACACATTTACAATGCTAACTAGCATATATACATTTTCTTCTGCCCTCCATGGACAGGGTGAAAGATTTGTCAAGCATACAGTTCAGAGATTTATTGAACAACCACAGGTGATCGTAGTGCTTTTAAAATGTTAGGCTAGCACGGGCAAGATGCCAGGTACTTACCTCTCGAGTGGCTTGCCTCATACTAACACACTATGACTGATTATATTAGTGATCAACATCAGCATAATATTATCTAGGCAGTCAGCAAATGTTTACAAAAGTCAAGCTCTCAAACCTTTAAAATCAGGTTATATTTACGTATTTTGTTAACCTAGTCCAGTAAACTACAATTTATACAGTTAATTAAAGCAAGAGTAGGTGAGCATTTAGCTGGTTATTGTATGGTTAGCATCAAGCTGTCAGCTTGAATATATCAGATTTAAGACCATAAGAACTTAATAAAGGTAGCTGCAGGCCTATTGGGCCATACGAGGCAGCTCCTATATATATCCACCCAATTTGTTTATATAACAATTAAGGGATCCTACTTAAATTTTGTTACGCGGTAATTCATTCCACAAATCAACAACCCTGTTACCGAACCAGTATTTACCCAGGTCTTTCTTAAATCTAAACTTATCCAATTTACCCATTCCATTCACCTGGGCTCTAGGAGACTCGAACCGTGGGCCCCAGTCTGCAAGAGTGATTCAAGTCTCCTAACGTGTTGAGTCCTAACTTCGTCAAACACAAAACGAAGCTGGAGAACGCCCCAGAGACATGACAACACGAGACTAGTGTCAGAACATGAAAGATAAAACCTTACCTTACTAGCAAATAAAAGAAGCAGAGGAGACATGATTGCACACTAAAAATTCACATGGTACTAGACAGAGAGATTGTTTAGTATTAGACAACAACCCACCTCTGAAGTAGTTACAAAGGTGGGATTCGAAGAGGACGTCAGCGAAGCACTGTTCGAGAAATGTTAGGTTAACACAGCCTAGCCTAGGCTAATGGTTTTGACAATTTGAAAACAAACTTTAGCGAAACATGTGTACGATTTGACTGTTGCACAGCCAATGCATATGCTCAGAAACATTGACTGAAGGTCGTGGGGCGGAAGAGTTAAATATCATCTCCCTCAAGAATAACTATACGAGTACATTGCAGCAATCAATTAAACAATATTCTGTGGTATAACAATGGCTCACAACAACACTATACAAGGCAATTTACATCTATGGTGAGTCACACAGTTACTAGTCTTGCTCCACACCCACCCAACTGGGCGGCAGCTTTACAGTCATGTGCAGGCTGCACCTACAGTAAGCAAATTTTGGAAGCCCCAGCTGTGGTGGCCAAGTTTGTCCAGACTGTTCCCGCATCTCTTTATGCAGACCGAAACGTCGTCGTCCCTTCACTTTCTAGTATGTGGTTTGGTCAACATATTTCAGCCACGTTATTGTGTCTCCTCGTCTACATAGAGACATTGAACACGGCTGGGGTGAGGGGCCAGCCAGGGCCTTGACTCTCACACACGTGCGGGTCCCACCCAACACACACACACACACTGTACACTAATTACGCACTTATATACGCACCTCTGTATACAATGCGCGGCTACCTACACTTACGAGTATAAAGTATACTTAAATAGCATCAATTATAATATATACATATGCAATTTATTAATTTGTACTAATATATGCTGTAAATATTTTAAAGCAAAACACTTTTTTAATATGTAGTTTCTGTAATTTGAAATTATATTTTGGACAACAACAACTCGTAATCACACAAAATTCTAATATAAGATACGGTTGCCTTAGCAACTACAGTATAGCAGATGATAAGTAATTAGCCAGTGACTCGAGATTGTTAATGATATGCACGTTTGAGAGGACCTTGAGCAGGAGAGGCACTATAGGAGGTGTGAAGAGCCTGCAACACCACTGAGGGCCCCATGTGGCAGCTGATGCACTGCAATGAGGTTGTTCACTCAAACTATTTGTAACTTCATAAACCACTAAAAAAAAATTACGAGTTTCATTAGACGCAAAGTCGGGACAGAAAGCCAGTAAGAATCACGGATAGATTCACCCAACCGATGATTCAAACACAGTCTTTTTTCTGGGGTTTTAAGTTAGGAAATGAACACTGGGGAGAGTGGGTGACATCCACCTCTCTTCACTGCTCAGTTTACACTGACGGTAACATTGCCAACTCCCAGGCCAGCGGGACAATGTTCGAAGGTCGGGAGGAGGAGAGAAGCAATTCACACCGTCTTCACGCGTTTTTATTAGTGTTTTCTCCTTTTTTGGGAGCACGTACTATCGTGGTGGATTCTAGTAAGTAGGAAGAATACTAAAATGAGGCAACACAGAGGTTAGGAATGGTGATGTGTATGGCTTATGTGCGGCGCGCCGCCTCCCGCCTCCCAACCCACGCCCGCGGCTTCGACTTCCGCCTACTCGCTTTTGTACCACCCGTTATTATTCAACCAGGTGGACAGGGGCCGCTGTACCATGACTCCGGCTATATTATTCCATACCAAGGGGGGGTACCTGGTGTACCGTGCTCCGTCTACACTGACAGAGGGACCTGGTGTACCGTGCTCCGTCTACACTGACAGAGGGACATGTACCTGGTGTACCGTGCTCCGTCTATACTGCCAGAGGGACCTGTACCTGGTGTACCGTGCTCCGTCTATACTGCCAGAGGGACCTGTACCTGGTGTACCGTGCTGTCTACACTGACAGAGGGACCTGTACCTGGTGTACCGTGCTCCGTCTATACTGCCAGAGGGACCTGTACCTGGTGTACCGTGCTGTCTACACTGACAGAGGGACCTGTACCTGGTGTACCGTGCTGTCTACACTGCCAGAGGGACCTGGACTTGGTGTACCGTGCTGTCTACACTGACAGAGGGACCTGTACCTGGTGTACCGTGCTCCGTCTACACTGACAGAGGGACCTGGACTTGGTGTACCGTGCTGTCTACACTGACAGAGGGACCTGTACCTGGTGTACCGTGCTCCGTCTACACTGCCAGAGGGACCTGGACTTGGTGTACCGTGCTGTCTACACTGACAGAGGGACCTGTACCTGGTGTACCGTGCTCCGTCTACGCTGACAGAGGACCTGGACTTGGTGTACCGTGCTGTCTACACTGACAGAGGGACCTGTACCTGGTGTACCGTGCTCCGTCTATACTGCCAGAGGGACCTGTACCTGGTGTACCGTGCTGTCTACACTGACAGAGGGACCTGGACTTGGTGTACCGTGCTGTCTACACTGACAGAGGGACCTGGACTTGGTGTACCGTGCTGTCTACACTGACAGAGGGACATGGACCTGGTGTACCGTGCTCCGTCTACACTGACAGAGGGACCTGGACCTGGTGTACCGTGCTCCGTCTCCACAATGCCAGGAGGAGCAAAATGCACCAGAATCATTAATTAGAATAGTAATCCTCACTTTATCTTGGTACATAACTAATCTACAGGTAGCACACTAGATCTCTACTAACAAACTTCAAGTAACATCCTAGTTTAACATGAAAACACGTTTTCATGTGAAAACACTTCCTGACTCTACTGCAATGAATTCACAAGGAACAAAAGAATACTTAAGTCTATATATAGGTGAGTCAGCAGCCCCCATCTTGCCTGGTCAAGAGCCACAGCTCTACTGATGTTTAAATCTCTAATAAGGAAGAAAGCCTATAGTTTCCTCCCTCTGTTGCCACATTTATAATAACTGCTCGTGTGAATAAGTAAACATTAAACCTTACCTTTTATATTACTATTATTTGCCGATAATTCATCACCTAGAACACAAAAACCTTTCCTATAATACTCAATGGTTAACTGAAAAATAAAGTTATACATTTTTCAATTTAAATTTCACCGGAGATATGGCAGCCTGTCGGCTCTACCCAAGTATGGTTACGTATTGGTATAACGCCGAAGTAGCATTTACTAACAAGTAATTATTATCTAACACCGCCGTAATTGAATTAATTACTTGTGATAATCAATAACAATTCAGAAACTCCTTGGCGCTCATAGGCAAATTGATCTATTACAAGCTATATAGAGACTATATATAAATTTTTATGTTCATTTTCCCCTAATTAAATTTATATAGCTGTATATGGATTGCGTACACTCTCACAAATTAATTACTGCCATTCAGTTTGCAAATTTCCATGAATAAGAATTCAACTAAAGACATTCAATATATTAAAATTACAAGAGAATAA